GTATTTTAGCTATAATTAATACATTTGGCCAGGAATGGTGACTCATGCCTATAATCCCAGCTGTTTGGGAGGCCTAGGTGAGAGGATTGCCTGAGCCCGCGAGTTTGAGACAAACCTAGGCAACATGGCAAGACCTCATCTCTACAATAAATCAAGAAAATAGCTGGGCATGGTGGCGCTTGCTTGTAGTTCCAGCTATTTGAAAGGCTGAGGTAGAAGGATCACCTGAGCCCTGCAGATTAAGGTTGCAGTGACTGTGAGCATGCCACTCCAGCCTGGGCAACAGAATGAGGCTCCAACTCAAATAAATAAATAAAACATTTGTTTCCCTTTCTGCCTTGAACTATTGACTTAATTCTTAATTCTCATAAGAGATAAAGTTAGAGTCCACTATAAAACTTGTATTTGGTTATACTGTATGTCAAAGACACCTTCTGTCCTCCCTTTTCCTGTTCAGTCCTTCTTCCTTATAGGCTTGTAACATGCATGTGCACTGGTATACTCTTCGTATTTTTTTTTTTTGAGTTGGAGTCTCACTCTGTCACCCACTCCCGGCAGGTCCACTCACGGCCACTGCGGGCCTCGACCTACTGGGCTCCGGCGATCCTTCTGCCTCAGCCTTCCAAGTAGCAGGAACTACAGGCACGTGCTACCACGCCCAGCTATTTAATTTATTGTAGAGATGAAGTCTCGCCAAGTTGCCTGGGCGGGTCTCAAACCCGTGGGCTCAGGCAATCCACTCATCTCGGCCTCCCAAAGTGCTGGGATTACAGGCTGAGCCACCGAGCCCGGCCGGTACACTCTTCTAAAGTTCATTTTACAACTGTGTTATAAAACAATGACAGGTATGGGAATTCTATGGTATCTTTGCTTTTATATGGGACAACCCTATAAATCAAGAAATATTTCATTTGTAGAGAGTTCTTCTGCCTAAAAAAGTTTGAAAACCACTGCTTTAAATATCAAACCTGACAGTATTAAATTATTTTTAGTTTTTGGGCAGCTTTGAGGAAAAGTAAACCAATTGTTTCGATCTTTGAACTTGTTAGAAGTGAGCACAAAGAATCCATGGTTGTTAATTTTTTTATATATTTAAACTTTAAAAAATACTGCATTTGCTCACCTCCAGATTATCTAGCTAGGACTTAAGGTTATTTTTATCTCAGACCCAAGAGAAAATGACCTGGATAAAGTACTCCTGGACATCTTTCAGTGATTGAAGTTACATGCATATATAGCACATCTGCTCATAGCCCAGCATGTAAGATTTTGTATTGCACCTTCTAATCTAAGAATATCCTAAGGGCAGGTAGCAGTGAGATGCACAGTACACAGTAATGAGTCAGTAAGGAATATCCAGATTTATTTCTGTTATCTTACCAGGAGTGTTATAGTGACAGTGCATCAGGATTGTATGTTGCTGAACAACTTTTGTTTTCTTTCATGTAATTAAAGAAATCGGTGAGTCTAATGAGCTATTGTATTCTGTTCTCTTACTTGATTTTTTCCACTTTATTTCTATCCTAAAATCTAGTTCTAGTGGAAGGGTGGGCTTCAAATTGTTTCCTGGAAATAACCTCAGGGTCTATACTGGGAAAGGTTGCTTGGGGCTAGAATAGGGAGAAAGGGATTCTACCAGAGCAGATCTGACTTATCTGTTCCCAGTAAGATTTTATTTGAAAACATGGTTTAAAACTTACTCTAGTAGAACATTTAAATCTTTGTTGACTCATTGCCCCCATGAGCTAAACTTGAATTTGGATATCACATTCTTTGGATGAGGAATTAGGTTGTTTTGCTATTTTGAGTTAATCAGCATTCTAGAGGCTCTAGGCTCTATTTTGGAATCAAGTTTACTGCCTTGAAGGAAGTGGTTCTTATACATAGCCAAATTATTTGTTACAAAGGCTGGTCTGTTATTAGAAATTATATTACCTATCAATTGAAAAACATGCTTTAGTTTTTCAAAGGACACATGGCAGGTTATGTTGTGATAGAGCCGCTTTCTTCTACAAATACATTCGGTAATTAAAACTAAACAAAAAACACCAAACCCTCAATTTACACAAAGGTTAAGAAGATAGCAAGTTATTAAGATAATTCTTTTTTTTTTTTTTTTGAGTTGAAGTCTCACTCTGTCGCCCAGACTGAAGTGCAGTGGCCGCTCCCGGCCACCGCAGCCTCGACCTGCTGGGATCCAGCAATCCTTCCGCCTCAGCCTTCCGAGTAGCCGGAACTACAGGCGCGCGTTACCATGCCCGGCTAATTTTTGGATTTATTGTAGAGATGAGGTCTCGCCAAAGTTGCCCAGGCGGGTCTCAAACCCGCGGGCTCAGGCAATCCACTCACCTCAGCCTCCCAAAGGTGCGGGATTACAGGCTGATAAGATAATTCTAAAATCTGTTGTAATCATTAAATATATATTTTTTTAATTGGAGTCTTACTCTGTCACCCAGGCTGGAGTGCAGAGCATGCTCACAGCCACCGCAGCCTTGACCTGCTGGGCTCAGGCCATCCTTTCACCTCAGCCTTCCAAGTAGCTGGAACCATAGGTGGGTGCCACCATGCCCAGCTAATTTTTTGATTTATGGTAGAGATGAGGTCTCGCCAAGTAACCCAGGCTGGTCTCGAACTCCTGGGCTCAGGCAGTTCTCTCATCAGTACCTTCCAAATTGCTGGGATAAGAGGTATGAACCACCATGCCTGACTTTTCTACTGTTGTTAATAACTGGTCTTCATTTTTTTTTTTTAAATTGGAGTCTCACTTTGTTGCCCTGGCTGGAGTGCAATGACATACTCACGGCCACTGTAGCCTTGACCTGCTAGGCTCAGGTGATCCTTCTGCTTCAGCATTTTTTTTTTTTTTTTTTTTTTTGAGTTGGAGTCTTACTCTTGTCTCCTAGGCTGGAGTGCAGTGGCACACTTACAGCCACCTCAGCCTTGACCTGCTGGGCTCAGGTGATCCTTCTGCCTCAGCCTTCTAAGTAGCTGGAACTACAGACTCACCCCACCATGCCCAGCTAGTTTTTGTGATTTATTGTAGAGACGAGGTCTCACCAAGTTGCCCAGGTTGGTCTTGAACCCCCAGGCTCAGGCAGTCCTTTCACCTTGGCCTCCCAAAGTTCTGGGATTACAGGCTGAGCCTCCACGCCCAACCTAGCCTCAGCCTTTCAAGTAACTGGAACAATAGGCATGCCCCACCACGCCTGACTAATTTTTTATTTATTGTAGAGATGAAGTCTCGCCAAGTTGCCCAGGTGGGTCTCGAAACCACAGGCTCAGGCAGTCCTCTCACCTCGGCCTCCCAAGGTGCTGGGATTATAGGCATGGTGACCATCAGTGTGCTGCACTCCAGCCTGGGTGACAGTGAGACTCCAATTCAAAAATAAATAAATAAATTAAAAAGCCTGTCGGAATTTTTTGCTTCTCAGATTTTTAAAAATATACTTTTCATTTTCAGTTAAGTCAGATTTGGAATATAGAACTAACACAGAGAAAGTAAATATTTTAGACAGTTTCAGTGTTTTTCCTACTTAAGGCTCTGGAACCAGACTGCCTATGTTTAGGATCCCTGCTCTGTACTTAGCAGCTGTGTGATCCTGGGCAGTTTGTTTTGTGTGCATAGTATATGGGGCATATGAGGGAGTGATTAGAAACCAAAGTGGAAAGGTAGGCATAATCAAGACAATAAGGAGTCATGTATAACATGTAAGAGTTTGAACTCCTGTAAGTGGTTGGGAAACCACTGAAAAACTATAATTAGAAGAATTATACCATCAGATTGTATTTTAAAATATTACTTCAATATCATTTGGAGGAAGTGAATTAGAGTAAGGCAAGAATGGAGTCAGTAAGAGAAGTGATGCCTCTCATACAAGATGGCATCAAGATGACGAAAGATGATAGGATGACTGAGCTAAGGAATAGGATTAGGGATGAAGGAATGAATTTGAGAGAGAGATAAGTAAGTATAGTAAAGATAAGACTCATTAACCAACTAGATACAGAGAGAGGAGGAGGGAAGAGTTCAGGTTGATTTCTGGCTTGGACAACTAACTTTACTGTGATGCTGTTAACCAAGGTAAGAGTTTTAGAGAAAGGGGTTTTAGGACAGGGGTAGAATATAAGTCTGCAACTGAAGGTCTTTAGAGTAGAGATATCCAATAGGATCTGGAGCTTAAAATAGATATTTGAGTTTGAGATTATATGTTTTGATGGCACTTGGAACCATAGAAATGGGTGAGTTTCCAGGAACAAGGTGAAGGGTGAAGGATGCAAAGAGAATGGAGAACTCTAAAGTTGGAAAAAGAGCGGCTAGGGAAAGAAAGAACCAGAACTACTAAGTAAAACTTTTGTTTACTCCCTCATTTCTTCTCATTTTCCATGTCTTTAACATGAGACTAAAGCTTAGAAAGAACTGAGACATGGGCAACCAAACTGGAAACAGCTTTTACATTCGTTAGGCTACTTGATGGAACTTTTTACTGTAGAATGCAAAATTCTACACACTTTTAAACAGTTGGTGCTCCCCAACTGAAAACTCCTACTCTGAGAAAATGTCTACACTATATCTTTACTCATTTTAGTCTTGTCTTGACATTGTCTCTTTAGCTTATTTCTGTACAGCAGTTATGAGCACAGTGTTCATTTTCATTACTATAATCAATGTAATTTCTAGCCCATGTATTACCAAAGTTCAGACATTCACTGTATGTAGTATTATATATAACATCCAAAAGAAATGTATAGTAGAAAGCAGAAATTATAACCTACAAAGTAATGCCATGTAATATACTATACATAGGGAAAAAGAACTTCATTGTAGTTCACTGATAGAGAAATTCAGTGTCCTGGGATATTTTTATGTTTCCAGCAGATAAATTTTCTAGACTATTAGCAATATGAGGCACAAAGTTTGGGTAAAATTTTTAATTCTGTCTTGGTTTTATGTATTTTTATGTATATTTATTTATTGTTTATATGTGCATGTTTATTTATAGCTCTGAAGATGGCTGTAGTAGATATCTATCATTCTAGGTTAAAGGAGAGACAAAGACGAAAAAAGTAAGTATAGAAAACTATCCTGTTTTCTATCAGCTTTGGACAATTGACTGCAAATAGTCCATAAGAATGTTCCATTTGTGACTCATCTTATGGCCTAGGGGAAAACATTCATCCTCTTTAGGCTTTAGTTTTTTCATCTCAGATGAGGATAATTCTTGTTTTTATGTCCTCCATCCTTATCCTTTGTTGATGTTATGATGAACAATGAATAATGTGAGTATACTGTCTTAAACTTCTTCTTCAAAAAAGGAATAACATAAAATCAAGGTGTTATTAAGTTGTTATGCATTTTTAAAAAGGAATTCAAGCCAGGCGCAGTGGCTCACACCTATAACCCCAGCACTTTGAAAGGCAGAGGCGAGAGGACTGCCTGAGTCCAGAGGTTCGAGACCAGCCTGGGCAACTTGTCAAGACCTCATTTCTACAATAAGTCAAAATATTAGCCGGGCGTGGTGGCACACACTTGTAGTTCTAGCTACGTGGAAGGCTGAGGGAGAAGGATCACCTGAGCCCAGCAGGTTGAGACTGCCGTAGTCGTGAGCATGCTACTGCACTCTAGCCTGAGTGACTGACACACTGACTCAAAAAATGAAACAAAAGGATTTCAAAGAAATTTTGAGCAAGTTTTCAGGCATCCTGGTTATTACTTCTCTTTGCAATAAATCGAACGATATACATTCAGACTTGTAAATTATGGATCTCAGACCCCGGAGAGGGGTATGCAGAGAGTATTAATGTGTATTTGTGTATATGTACTTGTAGGCATATATGTTACTGTTGTGTTACTAACCATCTATAGACACAATGATACCTCAGCAATAAAAAGGAGAGAAGTCAGATACAGTGGCACGAATAGTTCCAGTTGCTCAGGAGGCTAAGGTGGGAGGATCACTTGAGACCAGGAGTTCGAGTCCAGTCTGGGCAACATAGCAAGACCTTATCTCTTAAAAAAAAATTTTTTTAATTAAAAAACAGAAACTTGAGAGGCACACTTGAAGAACCAAGATGTGATCTAAAGTAAAGCTTACTCTCTACATGTCTGGAGTTAGCTTCCATGAAGTGCTAAAGAAGCTTACCCAGTTGCTCCTATTGAGTTTCATTGGTAGTCATGAATCTCTCTGGTGTAAATCATAGGTTCCAGACACATAACCTTGTGTGGTTTACTTAAATTTTATTTTGCTTTAAACACACAATTAGAGCTAGAGAGTATTGTAGAGCTCCCTTGTTGAGGTTGCTGTTAGATCTTATGTTTTATGAAGCCCTTTCATTAAACATGCACAGTATTTATTTCTAGTAGCTTCAGAGTGTTATATGAATGCACAGTTGTAAATGTTGAATGTGCGATCATGGGGCCTTTTTATGATTAACAGATTTCCCTAAAATGACTGTGTTCGATTATCTTTTTTTTTTTTTTGAGTTGGAGTCTCACTTTGTCACCCAGACTGGAGTGCAGTGGCCGCTCCCAACCACCACAGCCTCGACCTGCTGTGCTCCGGCGATCCTTCCACCTCAGCCTTCCAAGTCGCTGGAACTACAGGCACACGCTACCACACCCGGCTAATTTTTGACTTATTGTAGAGATGAGGTCTCGCCAAGTTGCCCAGGCGGGTCTCGAACCCGTGGGCTCAGGCAATCCACTCACCTCAGCCTCCCAAAGCGCAGGATTATATAGGCTGAGCCACCGAGCCTGACTCGATTATCATTTTCACAAGCTGAATAGATTAATTTTATGACATGGATTCATTCCTTTCTGTTTCATCTTAAGTGACACACATGTTTTCAGTATTTGTGAGTGGCCATTCATTCATCCAGCAAATAGTTATTGAGAGTCTACTATGCCAAAGAGAGGAAAAACCCGTGATGCTTGGAAGCCTAAAATTGTGTTAGTGATTCATTCACCTGCAGAAGTTTGTGGGGTGTGACTTCTTTGAAGTTTAATACTCATCTCAAAGTGTTTAGTATGTCTAATAAAAGCTGCATGAGGAAAACATTAAAATGTGAACTAATAATAATACACAAATTATTGTGTTTTTTCATCCTAGAATTATAAGAAACCATGGATTAATCAACCTTAGAAAGTTTCAATGTAAGTATTGGCAGTTTATTTGATAATTTCTTCCAACATTATTGAATAGTTTTAAAGAAATCATTTATATCAGTTTCTAATCCAAGTTATATATTAGCCTCACCTAGGAAGATTTTTAAAATTCTGGATGCCTGGGCATCACTCCACTTTATTAAGTCAGAATCTCTGGACTTGGAGCTAGCATGTCTGCAGTTTTAAAAAGTCTTCAAGGTGATTCTGATTCATGGTGAGAGTTTTAAAGTATAAATTTGTAGTCAGCACTTGTATGAATATTCTTTTTTTTAAAATTAGTATAGTATTTACAGCATGAATATTAATGAATCAATTTCTGGATAGTCATGGTTTGCAACTACATGTTAAACATAACTTGATCTTTAGGTTATAAACATAATTTTAGAGACAGGTTAACAGCAAGTAATATCATTATTTTGCATGGTAGTGGATAAAGAAAATAAATGACATTTATTAACATTGTACAATGGTGATAAAAAACATAATTATTGTTCTTTTTGAGTTGGAGTCTCACTCTGTCACCCAGGCTGGAGTGCAGTGGCACACTCATACCACCCCAGCATCAACCTACTAGACTCCAGCGATCCTTCCACCTCTGCCTTCCTTTTTTTCTTTTTTTTTTTTTCTTTTGAGAAGTTGAAGTCTCACTCCATTGCCCAGGCAGGCAATCCTTCTGTGTCATCCTTCCAAGTATCCGGAACTACAGGTGTGCGCTACCACACCCGGCTAATTTTGATTTATTATAGAGATGAGGTCTCGCCAAGTTTCCTGGGCTGGTCTCAAGCCCGCAGACTCAGGCAGTCCACTCACCTCGGTCTCCCAAAGTGCTAGGATTACAGGCTAAGCTACCGAGCCCGGCCAAAAAAACCAAAAAATTATTTTATTATTATTATTTTCTATTTAAATAGCTTTATGCGGTACATATGGTTTTTGGTAAGACCTACCACCCCCACTTGTGCACATTACAACCGATAGGTGATTTTTTTTTTTTTTTTTTTTTGAGTTGGAGTCTCACTCTGTTGC